TAGTTTAGGACGTCCTGCAATACATTTCTGAGCATTCTGTAGCAGCTTTCTACTTGGAACTTGCTGGCTGCTTTGTGCTGTAGTCTGTACTTTTTAAAAGCCGACATAGTAGAAGCTAAGGCCTTCCTCTTTATTGATGTACACTTCTCAGCTAGTCCGGAACACACCACTTTGAATACTGCTTAGTGAAATTTGTCATCCAACTGTAACCCGGCTTCCTTCAATGCCATTCATTTGTGAGGACTAGCTTTACATATGAGATCTACGGCTGTGTTGGCATAATTTTCTGGTTTCTTTGGCATTACTTTCTTCATTCTCAGATAACTTTGTTTCTGAGCAGATCTTGATCTGTTATCTTCTTGAAGATGAACCTCCAGTTCATTCATCTTGTTTTGAAGTCTATCCTCTCTTTCTGTCAGACATTTTTCTAGCTCTTTTTGTTCCTTCTTCTTCGCAATTAATTTGTCCTCTTCCCATTTGAGCTTTCTCTTCTGAGATACCTTCTTGGCATATGTTTCTCATCATTTTCTCATTATCTCTTGTTTCTTCTTGTCTTACATTCGAGCTCTCTGATTCTGCTTTTGCAACCCTTCTTTCTCTCTCTGACACCTGGTTCTAGGCTTTTTTTGGTCTCACTCCTATTTCTACTTCTTCCTTTTGTTTTGCTCTCATATTTCTCATTGTGGCAGCAGCTGAAGCATTATTTCTTTTCTTTCTCTCTACCAACTTTTTGAATGTTTTCCTTTCTTTGTCTGACAGATTTTGCTTCTTCAGATCATGTTCAGCAAGGGACCTATTCATTCTGTCAAGCTTGTTTTTTGTTCTGTGCTCATAAAGCAACATCTAATATCTCTCTGGGTCATTTTGTTTCATTTTATCTCTCCAGTTCTTTGATTTCAATTTGTTTTGCTTCTCACTTGCAGGTGACTTTAAAGTACTTGATCCAGCAGACTGCTTGACTGCTTGTGGGATTTACTCCCTGTCTCTTTACTTTTGATCATCTTAGTTTGCTTTTTACCACTCAAGACCTTTTTGTTTCTTTCTTCTGTTTCTGTTTCAAACATGACCTGGGCCCTTTGTTATCATCATCTTTCCTTTGCCAGCATCTTATTCTCAGTGAAAATGGGAGTGGCATGTTGATACTTGACATCTTTCTACAAATCACCTACCAAGCAAGGAAAACATGACAAGACTAACTCACAGTATACGGTAATACTGGAATAATTACTCGCAGTAATTCACTGAAGAATATACATGTACATGTATTTATAAAGAAAGAAAATAAAATATGCCACCTTGCATACAGCAAAAAAGGAAACAATATAATTGAAATAAATTTCCGCTCACACCTAAACTTCGTTTCAGAAACTGCGATGTTATAATGTGTTGCAAGAATTTTTTTTAATTCGAAAAGAAGTTCAACAAATCAACATACACTTTCACAACCAATAATGAATGGACAAAAATAATTGCTCACCCGTGACAGTAAATGGAACATTCCATTCAGTCGTATCACCGTGACACGTTGTTAGAAACTCTACGGAGAGGATCAAAATACAGCAATTTCAACACCTTAAAAAAATCAACATTCTCAACCAAATGTAAATACTGATAACCTCTCACTAAGTGGTGTTCCTTTGAGGTTATTTTTGGGATTAATGAAGCCACCAGATTGAAAGACAACTTCGACTGATCACACATCAGGGCGACACAAGTTGGATTAGCGTCACTGTCATGGATGTGTGTGGTTGATAGCTTTGGATGGGTTTACTATCTCAAGAATAAATTCATGAAGTCTCATTCCTTTTCACCGTTTGCTGCATAACAATCAAAAGGAAGCCCAAATTGCAAGGTAAAAACTGACTTTATTGAGAAATAACGTTGCTCAACTGCTTGCAGTTCACCGAAGTTCATTACACCATAATCGCGACATGAGAAATGTTCGAGTCACATGTACATTCACAGCAGTAAAATCTGGAGTGCTCGATGACTGAATGTACCGAAGTTTGTCGTAACAACACATTCCCCAAGTGCAGTCCTCCTTGCCTGGGTCTGAGACACAAACATGGCGGCTCACTTAACTTCACAGATTCTATTTTTTTATTGAAACCTCCATACAATTTAAACTTTGGTCAAGGGAAATCAAAACACAAATGTTCAAACTCTTTAACTGACAACTGACCATATGGGACCATTTTACTATTCAGGATAGATGCAGTCTGACAAAAAGACAGGATGACTTGAAATATCTTCAGTCAGACTTGGACAAGAGTTTGAATTGAAGATTGTGAAAATGACATCAGAATTGGTGCTTCCCTTAGCTTGAAAAAGATGCCCTCCTTGTCAGCCCAACATGTGTCCTTTACTGTAAAGACATTCTGTGTGGGACTTGCTTGTTCTGAAAAATCTAGCTTAACTTTTGGACTGGAGTCACCTTTGCCATCTTCTAGGAGAATGCCAACAAACCAGTAATGAAGCAGGCTGAAGTGAATGGCCAACTTTAAGTTTGTGTCTAGCAAGGTCTTAGTCTTTTTGACAGTATGAAGCTTGGATGAAGTAGATGGACTGTGAAATAAGGCCTATTTTTTGCCCTTGCTAATTTACACAAAGCTTTAATTCTGCCGAACCTAGCTGTCTGGAATTTTGTACCAAGAAAGAAAATTGGGAAAAGCCAGGAATTTTCTACCCACTTTTTCCTTGATTGACCGACCACAGATGTGTATGTATGTATGAAATTGATACGAAGCTTAATATAAATAATCTAGGAGATATCAGATTGTAACTTTGAATGAGATATTTCCTTTGTTTTAACGAGTAGAACTGGCACAGATACAGCATATGCACATGATGAACAGCCCCTCCCCTACTTAAGGCCAACAGACATGGTGCAATAACACATGCATGCATTACCAGTGACATTAACACAACATGCTTCATTTGGGTTATTCCATGAAGTTTGGGCACAAAACGTGACAAAGAAGCCAATATTTCAAGTTGGGTTAAGAAGCCATTCAATGGCAATTTCTGTTTGGCCATCTCATGCAGTTAATCAAACAAATGTACATTTTGCAACATTTTACCCTCAAAAACCAATCCAGGCACATCACCGCAGGACAGTGATAGAAGTCACTGATGTAAAGGGGGATGTCATTTCAAAATTGTAAAATATTGTAAAATTGGTGTGTTTATCTTTTTAAGGCTTTTTATGTGTTGTTTCAACTCCTAATTATCTTCACATTAAAGACCCCCAATATGTATTCCACTGCTGACTCG